AGGGGCCTTAATAAGTGCCGATACTATTTTGGCGGCTCCTTAGTATAATGAGAGTAGAATCCACCCCCAAACCCGATCCGAATGATTAAGGCCCCTACGTTACCCAAATAGTAGGTTTAAGGTTCCAAGTGCCCTACTCTGTGGCCGGGGTTTATTGGTGGTACATGTTTTGACCTCAGCGGGAGAGGGTGCGGCGGATTCGGTACGTCTTGAGTCCCTACAGTAGCAAGAGTAAAGGTTGAGAGGGCTTCTGTTGGTCCAGATTGCATGAGAAGGTTCGGAGCGTATGCCCGGGATGCATGATCTCCTGATTAAGCCGGCTCAACTGCGTTCAACTTTCAAGCCAAAGATTCCAAGGCTGTTGCTTCTCCACGGTTAGCTTCTCATGGAATCAACCAGACCATGCCAGACAGAAGCGCGAATGTCCAAGGCAAGCAGCAGATTGCAATCCCATTGTCGGAACTCTTGGTGAGAGTTCCTCCTATGCCATAACCACACCCAAAGCCCTAAATAAATACAGAAGTGGTCCAAGAAAAGAGATACACCCTAATCCCGTATATTATATAACCGGAACCCATATCATAACCCCGAAGCCCTAGCCGGAGCAGTGAACCCCGAAGCTTGCAGCTGAAACTTTCGCTACAGTAGTCTGTGTTCGAGGTCGTATTTACGGTTTGTTGACGATGGCCTACAGACCTCATCTGCTAATCAACATCCTAGGCCAAAATATAACTTCCGGATAGCGGGTTCCGTGTGACGGTGGGCTCCGTTTAGGTTGTAGAAGTTGTGACTTGGACGTTAAGCCGACGGTCTGACCTGTGGCAGGCATCCTGTGTACTTTGCAGCCTTCGCCTCAGCTCCGGCAGTGCCAGCTATGATGGCCAAGAGGGGACTGAAGCCGTTTCAGAAGCGCTGCTTTAGGGTTCAGGGTTGAGGGTTTAGGGCTTAGGGTTTAGGGTAGGGTTTAGGGTTTAGGGTTTAGGGTTCAGGGTTGAGGGCCAAGTGAGTAAGCACAGCACCGCAAGCCCCAGAGTGGGTGACCACTCCATGTGACGCGAGACCCAGGTGAAAAATTTACTTGCGAGGATCGGTCGCAAAGCAGCGTGCCTCCCCATCTGTGGTTTAGGGTTTAGGGTTTAGGGCTTAGGGCTCTGTGCAGATCTCATCCGTGTGTGATTCAGACCAGTAGCTGTAAAGATCCAGACGCTTGCACTGCAAAGCTTAGCCCTAAATCCTGAACCAAGCCCTAAACCCATGAGTTCAGCATACATCACTTGTAGACGGTCCTTTCTCTTCCCAGTGCTCGAGATGAGATACGCACCTGTGCAGCATCTTAACGAAGAGTTATATGGTATTATATGATATGATGTGATATCATATGGGAGTTTTCAAAAATTAGGGTACCTTATTTTGGGGTCCTTATAATAAGGATCCTATTATTTAGGGTACTATATTAGGGTCCCCTATTTTCAGAAACCCCCATATTGGATTATGCAGGTACTGTGCCCACAATGCTTGGCACAGCATTGATCCGGCACTACCCGCCATGTTTGGGATGGTGTCGGGGGGGGAAGGCGGGGAGAACCAACCGCACCCCGCAGACCAGTTCCAGGGTGCTGCTTGTGTTTTTGCATACTACAGATCATATGGGTAGTTCTCTAAATTAGGATCCCTTTTCTGGTCCCCAATATAATGCGGCACCCTTATAAAAAGGACCCTAAGAAGGGACTCTAATTTAGAAAACTGCCCATATGCCTGCATTTTCAGACCCAGAGGTGCCAGAGGCGACTTTACTAGGCCAAACTAGTGGGGTGCAATACCGTGATCTTTAGAGTTTTGGGTTTAGGGTTTACTCTCACAGTAGTCCTGGTAGGGCCTCAGCACTGACTTGGCCAGGTGCATGTACCTTAATGCCAAAACCGGCACGCGTCGCCAAATTGGACACGGCTTCTCGAATGCAGTGAAATGTAACAGCTCCTGAGGTTTGCCCCAAGGAACATCATGGCTCGAAAAAGTTGAGATTCGGGCATGTCGGTGCGATCACTCAACCTAGTAACTGCAGAATTTCGAGTCCAGCTGCTGCATCGTCGTCACGCCCGGTCTAGATTCCACATCGTTGCCTCCGCGCAGAGCAAGCCGAGCAAGCCAGTCGAACCGTCAAACCCGTGGGCTCGGATGTTGCTCTTGTTGTTATTGTTGTTGTTGCTGTTGCTGCTGCTGCTGTTGTTGTTTCTAGTGCGATGACTATCACTATTACCACGAATTTGTGTAATAACTGTAACATTTTACTATTTCTGCTGTTATTTCTGGTTGGTGTTTTCAGTATTGGAGATATGACTACAAGTAGAGTTGCTTTTTGTTTATTGGTGTTGTTCGTCGCAGTAGTGGTGGTAGTAGTAGTAGTAGTAGTAGTAGTAGTAGCAGTAGTAGCGGCAGCAGCAACAGAATGTGAACAACCATCGTTTTCCAGTCGCACCCGGTGGGGCAAACGGTACTACTACTTCTACTTGTTCCTCTATTACTATTACTGCTATTGCTACTGCTACTGCTACTGCTATTGCTACTGCTACCGCTACGGCTGCTGCTACT